GGCGGCGACTTCGGGAACCCGCTGCGGAAATTCAAGCTGGTTTTCCTGGGCGAGCAGAGCGGTGAGCGCCGCACCCCCTTATCGCACCCCCCAGCTGTGGGGACTGGGGAGGGGATATGGGGGGGGTTGGCCACATGGAGCTGCGTCCCTCCCTGCTGGGGTTAATGAGGGGGGCAGGGAAATGACCCCCCCACGTTTGGGGGCGGTGGCAGGGGGCTGGTTTGGGATTCTGGGGGAGAGCGGTCTGGTGGCGGGAGTTGCTGATTCACTTGCTGGGGGGAGGGGACGGGACGGGACGGGCTGATCCTTCCCCTGGACGGAGCGGGGTTGTGGGGACCTGTCGCAGGAGGTGAGAGCCTAGGGGTGAAGCCACCGAGTGAGCGTCTCTTCCGCCTTTTGGCAGGGAAGAGATGGGGAGGCCTGGGCGTCCTCCCTGGCTGGTCCTGCTGCTGGTTTGGTTCCCCTTCCCTTTGTGTGTCAGCTGTGGCGAGTCCTTTTTCACGTGGAAAACCCTGACTTAATGAGGGAGAACCTGAGGCTGCGTCGGGGCGTGGGGTACTGCTGCCCCCGCGTTGCTAAGCACCCTGCTGCGCTTTCCAAAATGACTCGTGTGGCAGTGTCGCTTCGGTTTTCCTCGGTGGTACGAGGTTAATCAAGCCACATATGTGGGCCCTTCCCTTCGGCCTGCCTCTTTCCTTTATTTCCTCTTTGTCGCAATAGCCCCCAAGCGACCCCCTGTGCATCTCTCCGGGTAAGTCCCAGGCGCCAGCAGCGAGGTGTTGCTTGGCCAGCCATTTTATGAGGATCCTGAGAGCGGTTTGCGTGTGGAAGACGGTGTTGGTACCAGGTTAGGATTGATCAGATACTGGCCACACTCCTTGCAGGCTCTGCAGCCTCTTTGGTTGTAGGGCCGCGATTTACTCTGCATGCAGCTTGCAGTGTGTGTCTCAAAGGATGGTTTGGTCTGTGGCACAGTAACAGATTTGTTCTCTGGGTGCTGCTTGCTGGATCTTGGCAGTTGCTGTCCTTGCCCGTGGGTTTCCCCGCTATTGCGGTTCTGTTGAACATGCCCGATCTCCTGAATCCTCCTCTCCTGGTAATTATTCTGGAAACATGAGTATGATGATTCCCCCTGAACATATGTATATTTGTCTGGGAAGGATGGAGTGATGCAGCAAAGTATGTCCAGTCTCTCAGACACTAGGTCAGGTATACACACCCAAGCTAGTTTTAAGCTCACCAGTTTCTCTGAGCTCACCGGCTTGCATAATGCTAACAGAGTAGCAATGGCCACCTGAAATCCAGTGTGATCTGCCAGATCTACCCAAAAAGCAGGGTAAATGCACAGGCAAGTGGTCCAGCTAGGCAGAGCTGTGCCACCTGGTAGCTGTACCCAAGCTGGCTTCTCTAAAGCTGCTGGGGGCACACATTCATGAGCCGGTGTTCTTGTAGTATAGGCAGTCCTGATGCATTTATGAGACCTCATTAAACAGGTTTGGAAATATCTATTTATTCCAGCCTGTTTCTGCTCTCCAAGTGAGAGTTGGGCAAAGCCATGTCGGCATAAAGATCAGTTGTCTAGCCTTAGTAACTAGATAGATATGCTAATGGTGA